CTTCTTCTGAAGAAGGGTCTAGGCCCGAAACGTCAGCTTTCCTGCTCCTCTGATGCTGCTTGGCCTGCTGTGTTCATCCAGCTCTACACCTTGTTATCTCAGATTCTCCAGCATCTGCAGTTCCTACTATGTCTGAGAATCATTGTTGTGTTCATGTTCAGCATATGAAAATCAGCCAATGCAGCAGCAATCCCTGAGGCTCACACAGTATCATTTTTTTTGAATGACTTGAAATTATAGGTGCTATGTAAATGCAGGTGAACTATTTAAAAAGTTTTTACTTTAAACTAAAGATTTAAAGCCTACTCGTAAAAGTATTCAAATTACATCTGACATGGTCATGAAACTACAATAGTGTATTTTCAACAACAGTTCTAAAATAATTTTAAAATGAGTAAGGGAGTGAAGTTGGACAGAAAGTGAACATTAACTTTATTTTCTAAAATTGGGGACTTGCGCTTTGCATAAATGACATCAGAAAAGTCCGACGTTGCCAAATCTTCATTTCCCGTTTTCTTGTAAGAAGCAGAGTTGTTTTGCAGCCAGTAATTGCTGCTTATTATGGCACACAATGAAAAGAAGACAGAGAAGGACTACAAACGGTTTTATAGGCTTGTCAGCAGGGATCTTTTGGTACAAATTGCTGGATAAATGAAACAGCCTGTTGTTTCCTCAGTTGAAACAGTGAGTTATGTTAAAGAAGGAGAGGTGGAGCAGCATCAGCAGGCAGTGTTAAGGTTACCTGCTGGGTCCTAATTGGTGGCCAGTGTTGTTAATGGCTTCCTGTGGCTGAGTGTTTACATGTCATTTGCTCAGTGCTTTGTATCTCGGCTACTAGAACTACTGACAAGTTCTTCAATCTGTCTTTTTTTTAAGAATACTTCAAGACGGCTATTTGGTCAGCAGTCAGAATGCTCCCAGTTCTGCCATGAAATCAAATATCTCAAGTCCATTCCGAAGTCACATTTTTACATGGTATGAATGATGAATCTTTTGTTTTGTACTATCTCAATCAAAAAAACCTTGGATCTATTCAGACATTTGCTATTCAAATTTCATACACTAAATTGGTAGGACCACAAAAGACTGTTTTAGCACTGTTATCACCCAAGCTATTTTTTATGTTAAATCCTTCTTTTAAATAGTTTCAGAATTGACAGATTCCAGGAGAAATCAAAAATCATTTGTTTCTTATGGAATTTGAAATTGTACAAATCATCTTGTTCTTCTTCTCTCTGGGCTTACTTTTCCACCTACCTTAGCAGATATGTATGAAGAATCAGTTAAATAGATAACACTCAAACATGTGAAAAAATCCTGTCACTGACAATGTATGAAGACAAAAGGGTTAGCAATAGTCCTAGTGTTAGAAATTCAGCAATGCAATGAACAACATCTAAATCTGTTTGTTAGATAAATAGCTGACCCTGGCCTTGGAATTTACCAAGTAGTAAATATAAGGGGAGCACAACTTTTAGAGTAGAATGAAGTCTAATCATCAATTTTAGTTCCAAACTGCATTTTAATCAGAATTATATATTTGTACTTTAATTCTATTATTCTAAATCTGTATTTCCAGTTCTATTAATATTTGTTGAACACATGCAGTGTTGGGTGGTACTAAACCAAATAAAACCAGGTTAAACCAGATCCCAGGTTCAATCCATGATTCATCCTCGATTCCCAAATCTCTCAACAAAGAATGTTGGAGCATACACCGAGCAGAAAATAAGATTGAAGAGACCATCAGATTCAGCTGGGATAAACACCATTTAATATATCAATAGCATATATTTCCGTTTAGCTCAGGATTGAATCTGGGAATATACTTGCCGATTTGCCTCAGCTACAACCAGATTAAATTTGGGGAACCACTCCATAGAGGTTGAAATGACTTTTTTTTTGTCATTTATGTTAGTAATCAAAAATGATCAAAAACCTATTTGCAACAGGTTTGTGAAAATTGACCACCAAAGAGATACGTGAATATTCGGTGAGATTTGTGCATACTTCATTCTAAAACCTGTCCTTCAAATTCCATTTGTTCAGATTGTGGAACTGCAGGACCAACTGGCCAAGAATGGAATTTTGAAAAATCAAGGAGATTATGAAGAATTCTGGCACCTGTTAAAACGAACGCCACGTGCTTCACAGTTTGAAGCGAAACTCCAGGACATAAAGATAAAAAGTTTCGTTTATTATCTTACCCATGTAAATCACTTTGAATGTCTAAGAAAGCTGAGAAGAGGCTACTTTTGCTCAGAGATCCTTTTTTTGTATAGAAACTGTAGATATATCATTAATTATGATTTACTAATGATGAATTACACCCCTCTGGAGCAGGTGAGACTTGAACCTGGGTTTCCTGGGTCAGAGGTAGGGTCAGCTGTACATGAAGGCATTCATCTGAGTCTGGACTCCTTTTTTATTTGTTCATCGGATGTGGACATGACTGGCAAGGGTAGTGAATCTGTGAAATTCTTTACCACAGAGGGCTGTAGAGGCTGGGTCATTAAACATATTAAAGGCTGAGATAGACAGATTTTCAATTATTAAGGGAATCAAGGATCATTTGGAAAAAGCAGGAAAGTGAATCTGAGGATAACCAAATTAGCCGTTATCTCATTGAATGGCAGAGTGGCCTTGATGGGCCGAATGGCCTACTTCTGCTCCAACATTTTATGGCTAGCATTTGTTGCCGATCCTTAATCTCCTTTAACATAGTGGCTTGCTGGACCACTTCAAAGGGCAGGTAAGAGTTAACTGTGTGTCTGGGGTCACATGTAGACGAGGTAAGCATGACAGATTTCCTTTCCTAAAGGAATTAGTGAGCCAAAAGGGATCTTATACAGTGATTGTTGCCATGGTCATGTGCCTGGCTAGCTTTATATTCCAGATTTCTTAGTTGAATTCAAGCTCCATTAGCTGCCATATTGGAGTTTTCATGTCCCAAGATCACAAGCCTACACTTCTGCATTACCAATCCAATGACAATATCATGACACCACTACCTCTCCTGGTCAAGGATACATAAAATTCCAAAAAAAAACTACCAGCTATTGTCCCTGCTGATGTTTACATAGGTAGATGTGTTGATATATAGGACTTCAGAGAGTTCTGTATTGAAATATCCTATTGTTCAGCAGCTCTGGACTTCACCTGTATCTTGAACAACATTTATCAATGTTCCGTGTAAATCCACTATCTCTACATCAACTATATTTTGTTTAAATCCAAATAAAAGTATTTGGTCATTGTTAGAAACATTTGCCACTCTGGACCTGAGCCTATCATTTCTATTTCCACACTTTTTCATTCCAGTTTACTTTTTCTGTCTCTACCCCTGCTAGATTCATCTAACTTGTCATTTTGTCACCTCCTGTTTTGCCCTTCTTGGCTATTCACCTTCCCTAATTCCTTCCTGAATCCTGTAGTAGTCTTTTGCCTTGCTAATCTCCCACTGCTACCCTAGGCTTGACTATCTCTTAGATAAACTTAGAACCTCTCTCTGTGCTCCTCTTGACATTCTTCATGGAAACCTGGCTGAAGCATGACAACACCTTCCCCAATCCACACCTCCCTGCCTGACTATACGTTTCACCATTTTCCCTCTTCAGCTTCTTAATATTGTGATATGATATGGCCAGCTCTTGCCTCAATTTGTCCCTGATTGCTTTGGCACCATCTCCTCCTTTGAACATCTTGATCCATTCCCCTCGCTTCTTGTATAACATCCTCATTCTCTACTATTCAGATAAGAACAATAAAAATGTTCTCACAAAGACATTGTCGCTGCTTTCCTTCCTAAGCCTATACACCAAGCACTATCTCATTCTCATTGGCTTCATTGTTCATCTAAGTTTGTGAAGCCCTCTCTACTGTGAAATCATTGCTGTCTTATTCTTCCTAAATCTCTCCTTCCAGAAAAAACAGCCCAGCCCATTTATATGTTTACTTGTCATTTCGTGCAGCCTCTCTGCTGTAATCATGACAATCATAAATGAGGCCATCTCTCATCATTTCTGTGTTCCATACGCCATCAACACGGTCTTATTGCTCCTAACTCTTTCTCCTTCTGTGTCCAGCTCTGGAAGAAATCTCTCCTCCCAGCCAATTAGAACAATATTTGCAACTGCTGAGCTTTGGATCCTCCATTTTCCATTTTTTTTACAGCTACATTTTTCCTCTTACCTCTGTCATTGATGTTCTTGATCCAGTCAAAACCATTACTCTCATCTACCCTAGCTGCTCCCCATTCTATCCCAATTGCCGCTCTCCTTAAGTCCAAGATATGCAGAGTTGAATGTTCACGGTAAACAACTGATTTAGCCAGTCATTGCCAGAACTGGCTTGATCATATAAAGCACTATTGGGTCCTTCTGTCATTTGTCAGAGCTGCTCACTATATTAGGATCGCTCTAGAATGCTGCAGTAACTCCCTGCATTCTCTTCCCAACACCAACTGCCTTCTTAAACAGCATTTTCCTACCATACCCACCATCCACATCAACTCCAACAAGTGTGAGAAACTGAAGTCTTCCTATCACCACACTCATTGATGTGTAATTCCCTCTCCCTCTCATCAGGTTCTGTTCCCCCTTTCTGTTCAGTCTTGTGTTTATCCTCTGCCCTGCTCCATCCTTACAAACTCCCATCCTTGTTCAACTTTTAATTCATCTCCAAAGTCCTTGAATGTGTTGTCACCTCCCAAATCAATTCCTACCATTGTTCTTCCAAATCCATGTATGAATCCTTCCAATCAGGCTTCCACTCCACCACAGATTGAAATAGCCCTTATCAAAGTCACAAATGATGTCTGTTATGATTGTGACGGAAGTAAACTATTTCTCCCTGTCCTTCTCAAGCTATCTACAGCCTTTGACATGGTGACCAAATCATCCTGCTCTAACGCTCCTTCATGCAGTTGGCTGGGACTTTCCTGGCATTGTTCCATTCTTATCTTTCCAGTCATAGCCAGAGTCATCTGCAATGGTTTCTCTTCCTGTTCTCCTTCTGTTGCCTCTGGTGTCCCTTCATGATTTATCCTTGTTCTCCTCTTAGATTACTTGCCCATTAGTGACAACATTTGTAAACAACATTACATGCTGACAACACCCCTAACTACCGAGTACTACCTTATTCAACCTCTCCTCTGTCTCTTTTTGTCACCTAGCTTGTCTGATATCCAGCAATGGATGAGCAGAGGTTCCCTCCAGTTAAATATTGAGAAGATCAAAGCCGTTGTCTGAGACTATTCCAGACTTTGAACTGAGCCACCAACGCCTATAAGCTTTCTATCACCAAGCCCATCTCCTTCCAATTTCATAACATACCTGATACTGCCCGACATCAGATCATTTGCTGCTGAAAGCCTCTTCCCTATCTTGATCACCCTGAAACTTAACTTCTCAATGCTGTCCTGGCCAGCTTCCCACCTTGCACTTCCATAAACAGGAACTCGTCCAAAAATATGCTGTCCCGATCCAAACTCTGTCATCCCCCTGTGCCAACTGACCTACATTGACACCCAGTCAAGAAACATCTCAGTCTTAAAATTCACACCTATGATTTCAAATCATTCCTCTATTTCCTTGCAACATCTCCCTGCCCTCTGAAATCAGTGTGTCCTTCCAATTTAAGTCTTGTGCACATTCCCGATTTTATTTATTTATTTTTTTTCAAATTGCACCTCGTTTTGTGGCTGTGCCTTCAGCTGCCTAGTTCTAACTTTTGAAGTTCCCTTACTTAAACTTTTCTGCGTCTCTACCATTCTCTCACTCTAAGATGTACCTTAGAACCTACCTCTTGACCAAGCTTTGGTTCATCTGTCCTAATCTTTCCATGTGTTGTTCAGTGTGAAGTGCTTTGCACTTTGGGATGCTTACTAAACTGAAGGCACTATGCAACAGTTGTTTTTGCTGTAATTCTATCCTTCTGTTGTCAGTGAATAGGTCATTACCTCGCTTCAACAATAGACTTGGACAAGATCTAGCAAAAAATCCATGTGAAGCAAGAAAGACAAAGAACCATCCCACAACTGTAAGCAACTTATCTCTGTATTAATTCATTATTAATTATTGACATTGCTTTTCATCCACTCAAATCAATATAATAAATGATTCCTTTGCCTGTTAATATTTGTATTTAATATTAGAAAAATTCTTCTTATTGGTTATCTGCAATTGACTGTCTACATGATATATTTATTTGATATGCCCCATAAGCTTTATTTTTATTTTCCCTGCCATTTTTTAGGGAGGGGGGCTGATTTTTTTCCTTTCCTCTTCTCTCCCTATTGGCAATTCCATTGGTACGCAAGTGGTTTTATTTACACGTGAGCTTTGACACTCACTGTCAGCAGGATGTTCGTTGTGAGAGGGAATCACAACTGATCCTTCACTTCTTCAATGTCCACTTTTTCAATGCGCATTTTCAGCAGGGGGCAGGAGCTGATGAATAGCGATCAGGTGTGGGAACCTGGGCTGAATTCTTTTCCCCCCCGTTGGATATTGGTAAAAATTGGGAAACCTGGGTCATTTATTTGGCCCTTTTCCCAAGTTCAGGGGATTTGTTGTCAGATGTAGAGGGTCTTCATGACTTGCATAATGTAGCTATTCGCGAAATAGAATGAAGTTATTAAACAAGCCATCTCCATTGTTCCTGTATGATCCTTGTGTTGATAGTTTAAGAAGATTGAAGCCCGACCGGGAAGTATGTACTACCTGAAAGGAATAAATATTCAATGGAGCTACAGCCTCCAATTACAGCAAATATTTAATTTTCACAGGATTCTTATGATAGATATAAAACTTGGCCAAATAAGATAGTTGTGTGTTTTAATCATCTCTGGCGTGTGTTTTTTATATGTTGATTTTACTATTATAAGTACAATTGCATTTGTACAAACAGTATTGACACCTACCAGTATAATAGCTCTAACATTCACCCATGTGAATTCATGAAGATGTGCTTCAAACATTGCTTAATTTATTATACAGGCACTTTGTCCTCTCCTTATGCAAATATAAGTTGTAAGTGTCTTTGAAAAATGTATGTCGTATCAAAAGTGTGCAGTGATTAGCAGCTTGTGTCCTGATGTTGCTTGTGCTCACTACAATATGTCTGTTTCCTTGTAATCGCCTTATTTTGAATTAGAACTCAGCGCATCTAGCTACACTCAAGTTTTCCAGTGCAGATATAAAGTCCAAAATGTAAAATGCAGTTGAAATGATAGAGGCCACTGGTTACACGTTGTGGAGGAGAATGAAATTTCATTGTAGAGACAATATATTATGAACCAAAGTAAATCAGTTTTGATAGCACGTTCATTTCACTTTGTATGAAAACTGAAACACTTTTCCAAAAGGAGCAGCAGGAATTATTTGACTGTGTGATAACATTGTAGAATATGTATGCAGACTGAATTGCAGTATATAATACAAGCTGAGATACTTTGAACTAACCAATACCTGAAATGAAATAGTTATTTTAAAAGTTTGAGTTTTATGAGTCACATTTTTTTTTTATAACTAATGTGAGTTGTAGTTTATATTTTTAACAGCAGTTTTTTATTCCATCTTGACGTGATGGGGGTAGGGAAGCTTGTTTAGAAAGAGAAGCAGGAAGAGGAATGAATGATGGAAGTCAAGGATGACTCCAGGTTTACCTCAGCCCTGCTTTTCTTGTGTACAGACTAACAGCTGTGCCCTGAATGATGAGCTGGGGTGGGTCAGGCCCTTCACACAGTAGTGCGACTCGAACGTTAGTCTTCCAATCTATGAGACGTGGCAATATTTCTTAGCCCAGTTTGTCAAGAGATTGCTGAAGGCAGTTAAAGGTTTAATTTGCAGGGCACATTCTTTCTTTGGGTACTGCATGATCTGGAAGAAAGTCAGTAGACGTCTTGTGACAGTAGACTCATCTGTTTCATCATTTTTTTTTCCTGCAGCCTATTCATTTACAACAGAATTTATTATAGTAAGGTATCTATTCTAAGTAGTTTGCACCTAATGTAGGTTCATAAGCTTAAAGTACAGCCACTAGATGATTAAAAAGTGTACAATTTTCATGTAAAATAGAAAACAAGATTAAATTTTTAGTATGTATTGAATGTGAAATTATAATTACAGAAACCAACCAGAATATTACTCATTCGAATTTATTACCTTAATAGAAGTTTGATTTCCTCAGAATTACGCCTTTTTATTTTACACTTTTAATTATCTTTTTAACGTTACCCTGTATTTTTTAAATCTTTTTTCAAACCATAATTGCAGTATATACATTTACACAGATTTTACTTTCTTTGATAAGATTAAAAAAAAACTTGGTGCTAGTAGTCCATCTTCTTTTGCAATGCTTTTCTTTTTATCCTTGGTGTATACCTTTTTTAATTCCATTAATAACATTGACTATTTAGTTATCATCAGATTTATCTTTTATAGAGAACTGCATCATGCATTATGAAACAATGATATTGTGTATTCAGCATATTCTAATGTTTTACAAGATTATCTGACTTATAGAAAAGCTGAATGTTTATGGTCACCATATATTGTTGCACAAAATAATTTGAGAAAGATCAATTGGAAGATTACATTTCATAGTAGCTCCTTCAAAGATGCAGTTCTAGTTTTTACTTAATTTAGATTTATTTGTGGACCTCCCAAAGTGAGTTACATTTCCCTGATAAAACTAACCACCTTTTTTCAGAATGTGAAGAAATGATGACCAGCAGATTTTGATGTGCTGCATTTCATAAGGATTTGTCTAAAATGAAACAGCACAGAGACCATTCAGCCCATCCTGTCTCTTCGAAGCTAACAGTTAGCCCCACTCCCTGTTGCTTTCCTACAGTCCTGTAAATCTTTCCATTTCAAGTATTGCATCCAGTGTGATTTGAAAATTACCATTGAATCTTTTTCCATCACCTTCCATGCAGCGCACTTCCAATTATAGCAATTTACTGCAGTAAAAAATTCTCGTAAATCCTCACTGGTTATTTTGTCTTTAGTTATAATGACGCTCTGAGGTTAAATTGGACAAATACATTCATTCTCTAGTTTCAATCATGAATCATGTCCATTTAGGTGAGACCTTGGAGGGCTTTTTAAACCACATTGAATATTCTCTAATATTGTGATGTGAATAGGGTGGTAACGTCAAAGGACACCATGGTCTCGTCCTCGTCTATTCTTATGTCTTTGAGGGATTTGAGGAACATCCTATTCACATCGACTTGACATACCACTGGCAAGAGAAACACTAGCAACAGTACTAAAAGAATGAGACCCGAGTGACACCATCTCCACCGTCAACATGCTGAAATTAATGGACCTATGCCTCACAATCCACTTTCCTTTAATGGCCAAATCTATGAACAAATCAACGGGACACCCATGGGGTCACGTATCTCTGGACTAATAGCAGAAGCGGTGATGCAGAAACTTGAAAGCGTGGCCCTTCCGCAGATTCAACCTAAACTATGGATCCAATACGTGGACGACACTTTCGTCATCATCAAACAGCCTAAACTAGAGGAGACACACCAACTTAAAAAACACTCTCACCAGCATCAAATTCACCAGGAAGAAAAGGACGAACAGCTCCCATCCCTGGACATCATGGTAGAACGCAGGGCCAACGGGAAATTTCTGACGAAGGTACATAGAAAAGTCACACACATGGATCAAGTCCTGAATTTCAACAGTAACCACCCCAACACCCACAAATGAAGTTGCATGAAAACACTGTTCAAATGAGCCACAACACGCTGCAGCAACCCGGAACTACGCCAAAACAAAGAAGAATACCTCTACCAAGTATTTAAGGACAACAGATACCCAAACAGCTGGGTCCAATGATGCCTATCACACAAACAACAACAGGAAGATACAGCATGCCCTGACACACTCGTTATGTTACCGTACATCAAGAGCATGTCCGAACTGACCACAAGACTCCTACGACCATTGGGCATCAGAGTGGCACACAAACCTACGTCAACCCTACTCCAACTGCTAGCTCGAATCAAAGACCCCTAACCCACTATGGAGAGAACCAGCGAGATATACAAGATTCCATGCAAGGACTGCAACAAACATTACATTGGATGGAGAGGAAGGAAACTGGCCACAAGAATACATGAACACCAACTAGCAACAAAAAGACACAACCAATACTCACTTGTCTCCATTCACATGGATAAGGAGAACCACCAGTTCAATTGGGACAACATCAGGATCCTAGGACAGACCAAACAGAGACAAGCACAGGAATTCCTAGAGGCCTGGTTCTCCACCAAGAAGGCCACCAATAAACACGTCAAATTAGGCCCTATATATACACCACTGCAAAGAAAAACCAGAAATGGGGTCATCAACTCCAATGGACACCAGAGTTTAAATACCAGGCAGGAAAACCCAACAGCGCTTCATCGGAGGCTGAACTGATGATGTTACTGAGCAGGGTAATAAAACGTTTGTGAACTAACGAACCAGCTCGGCGAGCGAACCAGCCACAGTTATGACAATATTCATGCTTGAGTTACCTTTGGACCGTGCTTGTTGGCTATGGGTTTTCATTGCCAACTAGAAACTTTAGATGCAGTTAGTATAAATGGTGAGGGGTTTAGAAAGGGAGTTCTAATGATTGTTCAGCATAATTTCAGTGAAACACCAGAGAAATTCCCAGGGTTTCCATAGATTATCCATCAAAGCAAACAACTGGGGAAACCTTGCAGAATTCTTTAGCAATGTGCCCCCTCTTGCTTCATGACCTTGTGCAACTAAATCAGTTGTCATTTCTAGAAGTTGTGATGAAGTATTTAAAGGTATGTTTAGATTAAGCATGCATATCTTCTCAATGGTGTAGAAAAGTAAAATCAAAGAAAGAGTTTCTCCTGATGACTTTGTAGATCAACATGCTGGCTAGTGTGAAATTTAGCCACACAGATCAGAAAGATACTGCATTAAATCCTGATGTATCCCAAATTATTTTTCAAGCAGAGTGGCATTGAGGGCAGCCAGAATACTGGCAAA